TCCACTGGCTTCTAATACTAGTGATGCGGCTGGAAAAGTGGCGCTGGGATCTTCCGGAGTCTTGCTTTGCCTTCCACGTGTGGGGGAAAAAGCCTGGTTCGGAGATTCTTGGGCGAATGTATATATTGTATATAGTTATGATTGTGTTTAGAAGTTTTTATTTTATTTTATTTGTTTATTATTATTATTTTTTCTTTTCTTTTTATTTATCTTCTTCATCAGTATTATTTATTTACTTCTTATATTTATATTTATTTCTTTATTATTTGTATATATTGTATGAATGAGAACTTTTAGCCCTAATGCTTATAGCCCTCCAGCAGTGGCTGCATGTATTATTATTCAATAAATAGATTAATAAAAAAAAAAAAAAAAATTTTATGTATAAACGCTTACATATACAGGTGTAATTATTTTACACATTTCTATCAAATTATTTCCTCACTATTTATTTGTTATTTAGTCTTTGCTTAACTCTGATGAAGGCTTGAAACTTGGGTCGAACATTCGGCACAAAGAAGATATTTTTTTCTACAATCTACATCATTAGGATAAAATAGAATGAGGTGTAAAATATCGTGCATTTCCTCCTTGGTATATGTCCTGTTCTACTACGAACTAAGAAGAAAATATTTTGGAAAATGTAGCCTGACATCTGGGGAAATGATTGCACATTTAAACGAAAAAAATTGGATAAGTCTATCCAATTATTGTAAAATAGCCAGCCAATACTGATATGCCTTATGGTAAGAATTTAATTATTAGATGAAGAATAATGTTTAAGCCGAAAAAATTATTTATGTTATTATATTAAAATATCTGTATTAAAAATGTGTATGTATTTATATATTAAAATTGTATCCAGTAAAATTGTAACAGAAAAGGGAAAGAAAATAATATTGATGTGGGTCCCTTCACACTGAGGAATTGTCGGAAATGAACAGGCAGACAAAGCAGCGAATATGGCGGGAAGGGTAGATAGAAATCCAACAGCTATAATTATATATACAGCATATAAAAAAAAAATGCGGGTAATTTGGCAGAACGTATGGCAACAAAAAGCCACAGTTCCAAATGGAAAACTAGTAACAGACTCTCCAGAAAAGAAGAGACAGTCCTCTGCCGCTCAAGAATTGGGCATTGTGAATTTTCACATGCCTACTTACTAAGAGGACTAGACCCACCGACTTGCGAGAGCTGTAAGGTGCAAAGAACTGTCCAACACATCATCCAAGACTGCACTGTATTTAATAATATAAGGAAAAATCTCGATATGGCTCAGAGTCTAAAAGAATACATCAGTGACAACGACAACGCCGTGGAAAAAAAATTACAATTTTTAAAAATCATAAAAATCTACAATAGAGTATAAATAGGAAGTGTTGCCAATGACCCTGCAGTGTAGAGGCAACAATAAAAACAAATAAATAAATAAAATTGTATCGTGTATTAATATTTGTGATATTAAGATTTGATATATTGTATTTCTGTACTTTTTAGCATTGACATTACCAAGGTTGGTTTTATTTTATATTATTGTATCAATAATACTTATTTTGCCAAGGCCAGCCACCGGCTGTCGGTTTCAAGAACCAAGCCGTAAATATTTTTTATTGAGCTTTGATACTTTTTTGTTGTTTTGCTATTGTATTAATACCCAATAAAAATTCATTCATTCATATATATATATATATATATATATAATATATATATATATATTATATATATATATATATATATATTTTCATTTATAGGAGTTAACACCTGCAGGTAAAACCGAAGGGGAAAATACAGATAAAAGCAACGATTGATTATTATAATACACCTTTTTAGGGTGTAAACAGTATATAAAGATATCTGATATAGCAGCAGGGAGAATAGAACAAGATTTTCTCCCACGAGTTAACGCCTATGACAAAGCTTTGACAACCCTGACGCCAGAGCGGTGTCACAAATACTTTAACGTGATGAAGGCCTTTAGTTAAAATTTCTTTCAACTTTACATAAGGTTATGTAAGCAGTATTCTAACAATCAGTCTCTATTTCAAAACCCATTTTTTGATATCCTAAATTCATTTTTAGTGCTTTGATTTTATAGTGTGAATGTAATCTTACCTAACTTTAACCATTGTACAAGTGACAGAATGTTATATTATTGCATAAATAAATAACTTTTCAATAAAGTGCTTTTCAAAGTAGAAATTAAACAGTAAAAGCATTACTTTTTATTTTAAAAAAGGAGGTTAAATTGAATAGTTGAAAGTTAATCGCTCCAAGCTATTCTGTTTAAGATGTACAAGAATAAAGGACTGGTCATAACAAACTTCAAAGTAAGTTAAAGGCACGGTAATTTTACACAGCCATGGCAGACTTTTAACCATCACAGATGTTTTGTTATTTTTCTGCTTTTTAAATCAATGGAAAAATTTGAAGAAGTTTTATACCAAAGCTATCTGAAATGAGAATTCATTAAATAGCCCTAAAATATAATAAATAAAAAATACAGTTACATGGAAACCTTTTTATATATATATATTATAATTTTCCTTCTGTTTTATCATTATCACTTAATATTTTATCATTGTTACTTAAACCAGCAGATAAGGATAATTCACATACTAACATTCAAGCTTGTTTTATTGAAAATTATTATTATCAACATTAAATTTAATAAATTATCCTTACTGTCCAACTTTAAGGAAAAACTTTCAAGAAATATTTGATTTTTTCATCACTACAGAACATAGGCAGTATTGTCTTTTTCAGTTCCCAGACTTTGGAGAAAGGTATTGCTTCCATGCTATCCTTAGTAAATCAGAGATTAGAGCTAAGAGAACAGTATCGCAGGCAAATTGGATTTAAGCTAACAAACAGGGTTTTCATAGATTCGGCAATGAACTTATACGACAGATTCAAAGTTTTAAAATTACAATTTATGACAATTAGCATGCGGCATGGGCATAATACCCTAAAAAACTCTCAAAAGAAGCTGCGTGAGTAGATCTCTCCTCACTTTAATATAAATACTAATAAACTAAGTAAAAAATATGAAATCATTGACTAAAAATCTCAAGAACAATATTATTAAAATAATGGAAAAACATACTGCCCAAAAATTAATAGGAATAATTCTATTTCATGCTTGTTTTATATTTTTAAATTAAATTACCTTTTTTTGTTTTGATGGTTAAGGATTTTCATATTTCTTGGTGCTCGATAGATTGTTCGACTGAGAATAAATTAAATGTTGAATGTTGTACCAAAGCCCATACACAATCCATTAGTTATCGTAGGTGGGAAGTTGGTCTAACAATTTAAGCCCCTTTAAGACGACATGCAGCAATAGTGCGTCGTCAGCAGTTCAGTAGATCATGTTGCAGCGAGCACCTAGATGAGAATACAAATTGGAATGCTGTTATGTTTATAGACCAGTCGTTTCCCTCTAATTATAGCGGACGTAAACGCCAAAGAGTCTTCCGAGAACATGGGATGGGTACACTGCCGCAGTTTGTATTTCCTTCAATGCAGTTTAGAGATGCTATCTACTCAGGAGGATGGGTACTACGCCACAATGTGGAATTAGATTCCATAGATTCCTCAAACCAGGGTCATAATTGGCACAGATTTCCATTTTCTTGACTACAATATGCTACATCATAATCTAAAAGTTGTTTATCTATTTCTTGAAAATTCCAACATTTTCTATGTATTTCTTATGTAACATTTTCAACAATTCTGAACATTTTATAAATTTTTTTCACATCTCATTCCCATTGAGCAAATGTGGGACACACTGCAGAAAAAGCTTTATGTCCACCATTTGCAGCTTCTCAACCTTCAGTGATTCAGAGCGGTATTACCATATTTATGGCATGAAATTCCTTGTGAAATCAAGGACAACATTATAAATTGTACGCTAAACAGGTGCAGAGAGTAGTGCCTAAAGGAGGTTATTGCACATATTATTAAATTTTACAAACGTTTATAATTCGCAATAACATAGACAAGGTCACAAAAACATTTAATTTTATTTAAACATCTTTTATGAAATTTTCGGAGGTCAAATACAATCTTCTTTATATTAATTTTCAATACATTTTAAGATAGAAATAGAATAAACATTCCAGAGACGATAAATTAACAATACTTTTTGGCACTACACATAAAAATCTGATTAGCGTGTCCATAATGGTATCGAGTACAAAAAGCGATCAGATTCGTTGGCCATAGCAGCTGCTCAAAATTTAAAATTAATAATATAATAATAATAAATTTAATAATTTACAAAATAATTTAATACTAATTATTATTTAATTATTTAATAATAATTTAATAATAATAAAAAAATAATATAATACTTTGTCTCTGTCATTAATCAAGAAAAATATGAGAGCAGGCTCATTGCTAAATTGGGATGAAGATTGGAAAAAATCTACCAAATGACAATCCTTGCTCAAGTATGCTTTAAAAATCACACCATAAGACAAGCTAAAACACAATTACTGGTCAAAAAAAAAAAATATTATTTTAATATAACTTCATCTCTCAGTTAGCACTTGCCATAGGTACGACTATGATGACCACAGATATATGATAGCAAATATGATGATATTCACAGAAGGGAATATCCTATTCTGCTCATTTTTTTTCGCCTTCCCAAATTAATGTGGGCGTAAGCACATCTTTTACTCGTGATAACCATGACGTTTTTTTTTTAAACTTTTATTATGATATTTACAACTGTATTAGTATGAATACATCAAGTAAATGTGTACAGAGGAATATAATCACATGAAACACGCAACCCGTGAAGTTAAAAATAAAAACTGAAATAAAAAAAAACCTATATACCAGTCTATATTAGAATTTTATTATCTAAACGTCTTTTTCCTAAGGAGATTCCGTTTTGGCTGAACCGTAAGTCAGTGAGTATCTTTTCTTTACTCATGAATATTGGAAACCTGTCCATGTATCTCGATATAAATAGTCTAACTCCTATTTCATCCAAATAAACTGCCTATTGCGTTAAAACTGAGCGGTCCAAGGAAGATAAAAGTGGTGTTAATAATTCTGTGGCCCATAAAGGCTGAGGGAAAGGTTAGATGAAGCTGTGGAGCGGAAGGGGCAGTGGACAGGAAATCCACGGCCTCCAACAATGTCGTAGTAGTGGCAGCTCCCCTAATGGACTGTCGATGAGTTATGGATCTAGAAGGCACTTCCATCCACATGTCATCTTTTCACGCTATAAACAACCTTCTCTATTCGCTTATTTCATATTTATTGTTCTTCCATTCGGTCTATTTCCCTCGCTTTCCACGGCCTGGTTTAGGACATATCGGGTTGTATAGCATAAATTTAGCTGCGATACAATTGATTTATGTTGAAAATAGATTGCTTGTATTCATACAACATTTAGTAAATTAGCTATGGTTCACTTAGTATTGTAAATAGTAATCCTAAACTATTTAAGATGAGCAGTAGTCCCACGACCTTTTATATTATGTATATATTCGAATTCTGGAAATTGCCACATTCTCTACTTAAGACATGAGATAGCAGCAGTGACGCGGTTAAGAGAGTTGTACAGGGATCACCTGGAGTCCTGATTTCCTCTCTATATTTGGAGAGACAAGCCTTAGAGTTCTCTTGCCTGATCGTATGCATATATGTATAGCTGTATTTGTCGATCTTTACAAGTAAACATTGTAGTCTAAATTTTGTCAGGTACTCTATAAAGATGAACACTTTTTCGGGATGATTTTGAACCAAACTATTCTCTAAGACTTTTCGAATAACTTTTGGCGACTGGTGTTGTCGTGTCCAACTTGTAAAATTAGTAGAAAGATAATATTGTACAACATACCAGGCTTTATTGTCAAAATATGTTAGTTAACAATTTATAAAACATATTTAAACAAAGAGAACATGCAAAACAATTTTTCAGCTAGCTGTGGCTTAGGCTAAGCCAATTTTATGTATTATACATCTTTCTTAAGTATTACACACGAGAAAGGCAAGTTTGCAGGAAGAAGGATAAATAAATATAGTAGTTAAAATTAGGGGATTTTTTTTTTAGATATAATTGTCAACATCTGTTAGGTAAATAAAACATATGTAAACTAATGGGACCATGCAAAACAATATCACATTGGATGTGGCTTGGGCTAAGGCCAATTTCATGTACTATACCATACACCTCTCTAAAGTAATCTACATGGGAAAGGCAAGTATGCCGGGAAAAGGAAAAATAAGTATGGTTGTGGATTGATGGTTGAATGCAGTGAATAATTGAAGAGAAGATTGGTTGGGATGTTTTTTGACTGAACATCCACAACCAATCTTCTCTTTAAAAAAAAAAGTATAGCAGTTAAAATTGTGGGACTTCTTATTTTTTAGATGTAATTGGATTCATGAAGTTTAATATTAGAAAATAATACTGTCTAATGATGGACAATATTACAGACTTCGTCCCATTGCTTATTTTATTTGAATTTTAAATAAATATATATTTTATTTATGTATTTTATAACATATTAATCGATGCATTGTATCGAAAAAAATATGTTTACCAATCTATTTGTCCAATTACTATCACCAACGCACTGATCACTGACGAAATTTATTGCAGCAGTTGATAAACAGTTTTTTTTTTTAAATTTGAAAAATAATTTGATCCTTAATTTCGTTACATATTGCAACTAAATTAATTATCACGGTGACTTTGCCAATGTTTGAAGACATTTTCATCTCATGAAGACAAAACTGACGTAACTAATAGACCCAAATACCTCAAAAACCTGTGAAATTGAGTTAGATGCTCCTGGAATCAATAGAGGGTAAGAGATATTACGTTGCAGCTGCAAAGTATAACAACAAGCCGTAGCTGAGAAGTGCGCCGTCATCTCATTTGAAGAACCGCTTCCCAAGATACTTTGTTACAACTTCCAAACCTTAATTTACTTTACAGCCAGTTTCGCAGCATCTGACTATTTGCAAGCCCTTATATGCTATTATCCAACGTATAAAGGCTCGTTTTGTATTTCATATTTATTATTTATTGTATCGCTACTGTTAGTGCAATAGGTTTTATGTGAAAATTGAGTTTTTTTACAAGATAAAATAAAAACTGATTATTTCTTTACGCTTTATTAGTATAATTTCTTGTTTTATTACCCTATGTTATTTTCCATAATTGGTTATTGTAAATTAAAATCACCATTCTTTAAGGCAAGTATATTATGATGATGACTTTTAAGATGGTCATTTAAAATAATAATCAGTGTACAATTAAAACAAGTTTTTTTTTTTTTTAATATTTTAATTTTCAAATCATTAAAATGTCCGATTGAATATTAACCATGCATGTCATATTTATGTTTCCAAGATGTTTTGAAAGTTGAAATATGCTGTCACATATAAGAAGGAAGTCATTAGCAATGAAGTTGGGCAGTTTATTTTATAACTTACTATAAAGCTGAGAGAATTCAGTTTGACAGAGTTAGAATTTATATATCGTTAAAACTAACAGCTGTCTCTTCTTGCTAGTTTAACATTGTTGTTGAGATAAAGAGACAGCACAGTCTGGGACTCATATATTTAAACACCTTCAAATTCATCCTAAAACTTAAATGAACAAACTTCGAATCCCTCACTGCTTGAGCAATTTCTGTCTTTGTACCAAGTATATGTTAGTAGTTAAGGAAAAAACAAATAAATCTGATATTTTTCAAGCTAAATGATAAAATAACAAAGTGAATATTATAAAGCAAAATATAGCAGACTACAAAATGTCACCTTTAGCAGCACGCGTCGATAAGGCATGAACTCCCACTTCCTCCGAAGAAATTTTATTGCTTCCCTCTTTTTGTTAAATAGTTCAAGCGAAAGTAAAATTAGGAAAATCGTAGATGATATATAAATACACCTGCGGTGGAATAGCTCATATCATTTCCCTTATTCCGTGGATTGAAACTTTTCACTTTGAAAAATTAAATTTTCCCTCGAAATATGCCCCCTCAAAAATTCAGAACCCCGTCAAAATGTGCCCCACTCAAAAATTTTGAAGGCACAGCTTACGCCATGAAATTCTCTTCTGGGCACCCCTGTTTAGCACAAATAAAACAAGAATGAAAAAATGCTAAGACCTTTAAGAAATCATAAGACCTTTTGTACTAACAGTAGCGGTATCTCATTTTCTATTTTTAAAATATTGTATGTAAACTTTTTTATAACCTGTTATATACAAATATCTCAAAGGAAAGGGAGATTTGAATAAAAAAAAAAAAAAAAAAAAAAAATATATATATATATATATATATATATATATATATAATAATGATATTATTATAAAAATGAAATAGTTAAGGAGATACATAATACCAACTAAAGGTCACTATATATTAAACCATCGAGGGTAATGGCTTGGGGGGCCTACAATACTATTTGAGTAGATCGCAGTAGGTATGTGTCTTGTCTTATATGATCCGTTATCTTATTATCTAGTCTTATATATGATGATTGTTGGCTAGACCACCTATTTCATAACGAGCGTTGTGGTTATGACACACTCTTGTAAAGCGGTAAACGAGAAGAAAGAAAAAATGAAGTAAAGGTACATCGATCTAAAATACGATTTTTCGTATTTTTATATAAAGCGCTATCCGTCTTCGATTTTATTTTTCCGACTACTCCTACTTCGCCATTTCTGTCATGGGGAGAGGGAGGTTTTTTCTAGAGGTACAAAGCTATTCTAACCATCGTCAGAATAAATAAATTTCAAGATATCCAAGACAGAATGTCATTTATTGATTAGGACAGATTTAAATTTGGAAGAACTTGCCGTTTTTCTAAACTAATTTTTAGCAAATTTTAACTAGTTCATAATGAAATTTACCAAGTTTTACGGAACAGTACTCCTAAATGTTATTAAATTTGGAAAACAGTTGGCAATCATTTACTCAGCGTAAATATGGTTTTCTTTGACTATAAATAATGCTCTTTTAATATTATTAGAGTCGACTTACATCGTACAACAACCATGGGTAGAATGCATAGTTTTAAAGCAGAAAATATAGGGAAAAGGATTTCCATGGTTATTAAAAATATGTCTTGATAAAATAAATATAATTTTCTGAAAAATTATAGGTAGTCTAAAAGCAAAACATTTTTTTTTATTGTGAACGTTTTTCATTTCTTCACTCTACTTGAACGATGGTATATAGTGGTAGAAGTAGGTGAATGAGGAAATAGATCTGTTTGAATTTACAAAAAAAATTATTGTTTTATAATTATCTATGGGTGACTCAATAAATATTTAGACCGGAGGAAATTCTTTTCCTGTTATAGATATTGAAACAAAAAAAAATATTGTTATTCAATAAAATTCACACTTGAAAGTTCGTACCTTTCAAATTTGCCTATTTCCAACTCATTTTTATTATACACGTGGCATAATAGATATAAACATTTTTTCATAAATTGCACTTATTGCCCCCAGCCAGTGGAAGGACCAGGTTGTTTGTATATATTTGTATTGTTATACTTATGTACAATAATAAAAAACAAATGTAAAATGTAATTTAATTAAATAAACTTTTTTGGAGGGCTAGAAAAAAATAAATAAATTGCACTTATTTCAATGCACATTGTAAGGGTTTTATTTTTCCATTTTATCAACTATCCAAAAATCACATGTATACATACCACAGTATAATAGGTATTGTCTTTACACTTTGAAATTAACATTGTAAAGTGTTTTCCTTTCTAATATAGCAATTATAAAACAAATTATATTAATATATGCAATAATAAAACAATAAATGACAAATTACATTAGGTTACACATTAAAATATTTCTACCTCATTGATTTGACTATTCTCAAACAATTTTATGTATTCACACCACAATGTAATACATTTCATTATTCAGTACCTACCTCCTGAAGGCCACATATTCAAAAATAATTATTTTTTCCTGGTTTAAAACTAAAAACAAATATTTTTATATTCATTTCAGTTGGTTTCAATCTTTAAAAAATCATTTGAACCTAAAAATATAATTTACTGTTCCCCAAAAGTTTTGACCCAGGGCGAGTGCGACTAATGTAATCATAATTATGTTTTATATTTAATTCATCCTATTATGTTACTGATTAAGATAGTTGTAGCTAATACTAATCACATTAAGTAATTTTAATTTTTCGTAAAAAATCAAGATATCATTACGGAGTAGAACAATACCATTGATTTCAGCAGTTATCCGATCTTATAAACTTTACGACTCCTTTGTTTGAAAGATTTAAAAGGCACTCTTGAATGTAGAGGACTTTGTGAAGTCCATTTTAGGGGAATGATTGGGCTAATGATGCACTGAGCCAATTAAAGGTTATTCGATCGCCAAGAGCCCTGGTTCCCACTAATTAACGAAACGAAATCCGATATTCACTAATTCTTTTATTCTATCATTGGTGTGCAAATGTTCAATTTCTCGATTCTAAATTTGTGACAGACTGATATTAATTTGTATTGATAACTTCTAACGCTAACATTCCATTAAAACGTGTGACTAACAATAATTTAATATTGAATACTTAATGGTTGACCGTTGTATATTTTAGAGGAAGAATGGTCCGAGGTGGCGGTCATAAAGAGACTAAAATAGTGGAATAACTATTTTATTTCAAGCCAACGTTTATTTATTTATTTTTTTATGTATTTATTTCTTTTCTTTCTTCTTTCTATCCCTTTATGTCCATTATTTCATATTATTTTTCCTTGTCTTCCAATCTTTCCTTAAGATCTGTAAGAGTATATTCATACTTGCATATATTATATATTGTACTACAACAATTTTTACC